AGGTAAACGACAATGAGTCCGTCTTAGTTAATATCTAACTGGAAGTTGCAGTAATAATTAACACGGGTTGATCCGACTCAATAATAAACGGAAGTCTAATGAATATGAAGGGCGTAAAGATGCGACAGATATTCAGGGTTTGATGACTCATCTGTGTATATCGTCTAGCTGTTTGGCACGTTACATTTTGCTGGGAAAACTTTTGATTATTTTTTCAAATTAGAAACTTCTAAATTGAGCACAGAGCTTGTATTCTGATGTGATCGTATAAGAGTCACTCAAAAACGCAGTTGGGTCAAGTCGAGTTCTTCATTTAAACCAAACACTGGGATTCCCGTCGTTAAGCTTATTGTTTGCTCGATTTCAACTATGTTCACCGGCTACGATTGCCATCAAGTGTGGAAAGGTTTTTCGTGTCAGATGGTTTGGTGATTGAGGAACTTCGGGGTTTTCTGAAATGTCTTATTTAATCACATATATATTGGTACAAAGGGCACCGGATACATATGCGCCACACAAAATAATGAGAAAGGGAGAGGATGCGTATATATAAAAGAAGGGAAAAAAAGAAAAGAGTAATGATGGGGGAGCAGAATGTACAACCAAAAGAGCTCTCTCAGTTAGGAAAGTTATAGCTACTCTTTATGAAGACAGTAGAAGAAGGTTACAGCAGGATCGCCACTGGCTTCTATTCTGAGCCATATCTGATAACGTCTCTAGCCACTGTGTTGCACCATCTCTCGGACCCTAGCCAGGGAGTCATAAAGGACCAACAGAAGCTAGCCCTTTGCAGCTCTCTTTCTTGCCACGACACCATGTCACACACTGACCTCCTCTCCGCTTTTTCCAACCAGTCCCAGAGTCGGCAAACAATGCATGACGTGGAAGCCTCTAGGACGACATTCGTAAAACATGTCCAAGCCACCGAAGTCGGTGTTTCAAGATGGTGACACCAATTGAATTATCGTCTCTGCGCCCGAACACACGATGCCGAACCTCTGCATTACTGACATGGTGCTGCCACTGTATGTCAGCAATCCTTCGGAGACAACGATGATCGAACACAGAGAGACGTCTAACATCCTCAACTCGGAGAGGCCAGGTTTCACTAGCATAGAGCAAAACTGCTCTCACCGACGCATTGTAGGTCCGACCTTTTACAGCCAAACTAACATCACGAAGGCGTCAAAGATGGCCCAGATTGGCATAAGCCGCTCTGACTTTCACTATACGTGCATCGATCTCATCACTCACGCCACCACCAGCACTTATGTAGCTACCTAGATACACGAACTTCTCGACTACGTCAATCCGCTCACCACCCAGGGTGAATACAGGATTAGAATCCTGCCAGTCTTGTAGAAGTACTTTGCACTTCAAAGGTGCAAAGCACATGCCGTACTTATGGACACTGATTGCCAACTGGTTAAGTGCGGATTGCATGGCTTGGGTATCACTGTACAGTAAGACAATATCATCCGTATACTCAAGGTCGAGAAATCTTTCTCCAGGCAACAGATCTACACCACTATCACCTACATCCATCGGAGCTGTTTCCAGGATGTCATCGATAGCAAAATTGAAAGGGAATGGTGAGATCGGGCAATCCTGCCTAACCCCACTGCTCGAATGGAACAAGGGAGAAAGGTGGTTGTATGCCCTCACTCTGCCTGAGGTGTTCGTATACAGGGCCTTTAAGATGTTAGTGAACTTCTCAGGCACACCCTTCTTCAATAGACAATCTCAGAGAACAGTCCTGACCAACGAATCGAAGGCAGCCCTGATATCAAGAAACACTACGATTGTTGGCCTGCGATAAGTATGACGGTGTTCTAACATTTGCCGGAGGGTACAAGATGGCAAGGAAGTTGTACTGTCATAATAAATTCAAGAACAAAATGTGCCTAAACATTACTTTCTTCAATGGTCATGGTCGTCAAGTTTAACAGTACATTCCACAGTCAGACTTCAGAACACTAAGATACCGACATATTAGAAATGAGAATTAGTCACTGGTTAAATAAGTATTTGTACTAGTAAGGAAAAACAATATTCTACCCAAAAAGACCTTTTTTCAATTCGACATGCACATAAACAACTAGTAGTACGACTCATAAATTTCCTAGATAACTTTTCCTATAGTTTCATTACTCACACTTAGTAGAGCTATGTATTTATCTTTTCGATGGGTTAAGCTCCACATAAATAAAGTTAATTCTATGCACCAACCGATTAAATGTTTATGGTAAACAAAACATTTATAAAGTTTCAGTAACACCATAGAATGGGTCAGTTTCAGAATCTTTAATCGGTGTGGAAAATTAATGACTGCAAACAAAGCGAAAGGGAGGAAAGTATTACATGCGAATACAAAAAGCAATAAGATATATATTACATATATAGTGGAATAAGCCAGTAGTGCCACATGAAATTTATGCACAAGGAGTTTTTAACATAATCACGAGCTCATAAAAGGAAGAAAGTTCTCAAAGTTGTTCGTCTATCACTCCATTGTTCAAAACAAAAAGTTATACCTCAAGAGAAGACATCGCACTGCAAATATATGAGTCAATCGTTCGTCACTTGGCGAAAATCATTATCAACCTCATTTTATATGAGTAAGGAGATAATATACGCGATCCGATGAGGGGCTCACACGTTTCGTCCATTTTGAGATCAAATACATGTTTCAAACTGCTTAGTATACATCGGCTATCGCTTATATTAACAGAAAAATCCTTCGTGATCATAAGGAGTATTCAAATTATAGTATAAACTAGTGAAGTTACAACACCTAACCCAGTTAAATCAAAAGTCAGAAGCGAGGAGTTTGGAAGATAGGTTTTGATGGGTGTAGGTGTTTCGGCAGTAACTAACACATATCCTTAGGATTCTAGTTTTTAACCACTAGATTTGAAGCAGAATGATCGGAATTCTAATCTTAAATAGAAGATTTTGGAACCGAAATGCCTATAGTAAGTGACCAACTTCTATCCGCAATAGCTTTATAGCGGAGATTGTCTAGTTTGGGTAAATAATGGAGAAGATGGAAGATATTAGTGTGTGACTTGAATTTTTACGCACAGGAGCTGTATGTGCAGAAACTTCGAAATTGATATTCAAATAAATTTTCAATCATTTATTATCAATGAATATGAGGTGGTGTGATGATTTGAAGTGCTTGAATTAGATTGTAAGCTAGTAATCCTAGAAACAACGCAATTCAGTCAAGAAGTATTGGTTTGGCACGAACGAATCAACTGTATTTGGTATTCAAAATTAGTACAAAAGAATCATTGGTTCGTTGAAACACCACATCCACCACAGTTTAAATTCCAATCCAACTTATTTCGATCAATCGTACCTCTGCTCTTTAGGTTCATCACGTGTCTGCTCGATTATGTAATAGATGCAACCCTGTACAATCTAGAATATACTCTTTAGTATTCGAAATCGGAATAGTCTCACCTGATTCCTGGAATTGCATACAATCATCATGTCGGTTGTGTAGTGAAATCACTGATATTTCGATTTGCATCATAGATTTCCAATACTATCTTCCCCACGAATTAATGTTGGGTCCTTACGTATCAATGTTACAATCAATATGACTTTCTTAAGTTGCATTATCTTCTCAAATCTCACATTTCGATTACTATGTGTGAGTATTCGGGGATAAACACTGACACTTAATTTGAGGTATTCCATCATGTGAATTTGACTTGCATAAAAATTATGGTGCATATTCTTTTTTATTCATATTAGAATACACAGATTGATATGCATAGATATATGTAGTTAACACTTGGATTCATTCAGGCTTGATTCACCTGCGAAACGATCAAATAGAAAACATTCATTTGCCTCATACTCATTAGGATAATCTTAGACATTATTTTATTCTCTGCCTATACAAACTCCATATCTAGGCAAACTGATTCTCTGATTGCTTCAGGAAAACTTGCTATTCCTTCTGATTCATCATACCACTGACTAAGGAATAGTGTGTTTGGAACAGTTAAACAAACAAACACAGTAAAACAATCACTTATACAATTGGTTATAATAATACTTGTTTCCATTATACCGATCGCGTTCTCGTCATAAAATAGGTGACTACCACGGATTGGACTTGGTAGACATAGTAAAGTAGTAGAATTCCTGATATTCAGGTGAATCATTTCATTGAATTTTTCTCTTTTACCGCATTAGAAATTTGTATACTCCACATGTTCCAGCCGTAGTAGCTTGATAGTTGCGCAATGAATTGAAATCGGCTTGTCTGGAAATGCTAAAGTCTTTATTAAGATGTGTGCTTCTTTTACGATGAATGTAAGGAAATGAGCCACAATATTATTATTCTCGATATCTTCTTTGGTCATAAACCGGATTTCGAAACTCTCCATGTAATCCTCAAAAGCATTAAAATCTGAATGTATGTCCAACCGTCCCATCACAGGCTCAGTAGCGACATCAATGTGATGATTAGGAGTATTTGAATTATAGTATACACTAGTAATCATAGAAACAACGCAATTTAATCAAAAAGTATTGGATGAGCACAGATGAATGTACTGTATTTGGAATTCAAAATAAAAACAGTCATCAATACAAAAGAACCATTGGTTTATTCAAACACCACACGTGGTCAGCAATGAGGCGCATAGATCTAATGAAGCAAATCTTGACATATCTGAATGATTAGTGGTCACGAAAATGCAAGGTTCCGAAAGGCATATTTTACCACATGAGTAACATTCAGTGACATTTCATCAACCTTAAAATTTTATCCCGAGAATAGGAGATAAGAGAAAGTAAGTAGTGATTTCACGACCTAGGGGGTATATCTGATAACGAAGAGGAAACAGCACACAAGAAATTCTCGCAAACAGTCTTTGAAAATTATCTCAATCGTCGAAACTATTTCAAATGACTTGGAATCCAGAAATGAAAAATCTGGTTTGTTATTTGATATTGTCCTTTCTTTACCGCTTAAACTGCATTTTTACACATGCCTGAGTGGCAAAACTTTGTGACCTTCTTACATCAATGTTGCTGATTTTTCTGGAATATCAAGGAAATTCAAAGTAGTATAGTGATCTTTACTAGCAGACGGAAAGAAATAAGCTGCAGATATTTTAGTTTTGATATATTTTTTGTTACTCAAGTGTTAGTTTTTTAATCGATCTATGCTGTTCAAAATTACTTTGCTACTTCAGGCAACATTCAATAGTTCATTATTTCAATGCTGAACGATCTAAGTCATGGTAGTCAGATTTTGAAGTCTGTTGCGCATGTTTTGAACTTATTCGATACCTGTAAGGTAAAGTATGCCGAAGTAAGTCTGTCTAGCATTAAATTCCTAGTACTTAGGTACTATTGTGACTACTGTGATACCTACTTAACTCATGATTCTCCATCTGTGAGAAAGACACATTGTGGTGGTAGAAACCACAAAGATAATGTAAAGGAATATTACCAAAAATGGCTGGAAGAACAAGTCCAAAGATTAGTAGATCACACATGTAAGTCATGAATTTTCGATGTTCTTTAACATATACTTCTCAAGCTGAAGCATACAAGCAAGGTAAAATGCCACCACCACTATTTGGGGCTGCAGCAGGAATACCACCCCCTGGGCTTGGTTACCCCCCTCGCTATCCTCCTATGATCGGTGTTCCAACTGGTTTCAGACCACCCCTCCCATTAGTTCCTCCACAGGGCATGATCATTCCACCCAGACCGCAAATCCCGTGGCCTCAACCAGGAGTTGCAGTACCCCCGACATACACTGTACCACCACAGTGACATGATTAAATAATGATCGTTTTTAGTATGTCACTATAAACAAAAACTATGTAATCATTTGAAATTCGATTGTTTTTCGAAAGCGTTATTTTTCTTGGTAAAACGTGGAAATGTCACCACACAATTATAGAAGTGTTGCGTTTTCTCTTATTTGCATTCTTCAAAGAATTCTTTCTGTAATTATTCTGAAAAGTTTAATTCCTAGGAAAAGATACATCGTGTTACTGCAGTTCGTCTCTTTTACATTTTAAAGGGCGAAATTTCATCATTTAGGCACTTTTTGCACACGATAACATGGATTTTTAAACCCTTTCACATTTGTCCTAAGTTGTACATTAACGACGTGTCACTTCAAGCTATACCGAGGCAGCCGGGATTATATTTGATATGTAAAGGTTACATATGTCTTGACATCGAAAATACATGGGTCTACTCGATTTTTTCTCAATACGTCTACGAATGTTGTTACTGCGGGCTGGATCACTGTCAGGTAATAACATCTATCCTAAATTCTTTAGTTAGGGAATGTTATATAGGATTTTGGACTTTATCGTTCCCATATTTATATTTCCATAAAAAGAAAAGACGGAAAAAAAATAAGTGACGCCTGAACATTGCGTACCACTGTAGAGGCGGATTTACTTTACAAAGCTTTCATGTATGAAATCTTGAATATCTGTAGAGTCGCCTCCGCCACACATTTGACGTTTCTGAGTAGTTACCAGTATTTGGACAAGATCTAAATACAATACAGAGTAGTGGCTTGTGGTGAATAATTACTACGGGTTTCTGGATATTTTATTTGTTAAACGCAATGAGCTTTCAGAGTTCTAAAACCAGTCGTTATATCTACACAAGTTTTAAAGCTTTGAGTGTGTGCAGTGGATGAAAGTACGTAGGGATTATTCATGGGCCACGTTGGTACTCGGCGTTGCGTGGCTCAGACTAGAAGTTAGTGATTTCAAACACTGATGCCATGTTTTGGTTTGGCCACCCCTAACTCTCTTCCAACAATCCCCAGTACTAGTCATCATAGCGCGTCGTGGTAATCGGTGTTCAGGCATACGTAACACATGGCCCAACCATCTCAGTCTATGAAGATTCATCACCTCATCAACTGATTTACCATCGTTCCCTAATACCCTGCGTCTAACCTCACTATTACTTACCCGGTGATCCCAGCAGATGCAAGCAATATTTCTAAGACATCTGTGGTCAAATACTAGTAACCTACGAGTATCTTCTACTCTTAATGGCCATGTTTCACAGCCGTAAAGTAGAACAGAACGAACTGCTGCGCAATATACTCGTCCCTTAATTTATAGACGGATATCTCGTCTTCGCCATAGGTGACGTAAGTTGGCAAAAGCCAAACGAGCTTTTTGAATCCGTGCTGAGATTTCGTCAGACACCAACCCATTAGGGCTGATCAGACTTCCAAGATAAGTGAAATTGTCGACGCGTTCGACTACTTCACTCCCTATCCTTAGTTCGGGTGTTGACGCAGGCCAGTCCTGGAGTAACAATTTACATTTGGATGGGGGAGAAACGCATCCCAAACATCCTGGCATTATTACTGAGTTCCAACAGAAGACTCTGCATTTTGCTAGCGTCTTCACCAAACAGGACTATGTCATCTGCGTATTCTAAGTCGTTTAGTGGTCCCCCTGGTAGGAGATCAATTCCTGTAGATTCAGTGGAAGAGAGTGTTATTTCCAGCAACAGGTCTATAATATAGTTAAACAAAAATGGGGATAGTGGACAGCCTTGACGGACACCACTTGAGGTTGTAAAATCATATGACAGTTCGCCATAAGCTCTCACTCGACTGGTAGTGTTCGAGTAAAGAGCCTTCACAAGGTTTATGTACTTCTCAGGTACACCTTTCAATGACAGACACTGCCACAGAGTCAAATGCTGCTTTCAAGTCAAGAAAAACTATCATTGTCGGACGCCGATAAGCATGTCTGTGCTCTAAAACTTGACGAATGGTGAATATGTGGTCGATACAGCCACGACCAGGTCTGAAGCCAGCCTGATTTTCTCGTGTTTGCAGTTCATGAGTCTTAGTTAGGCGCCCGATAATTATTGAGGCTAGTATTTTAGATGCTATGTTAGTCAGACTAATCCCTCTATGGTTATCGCAGGATGATTTTGACCCCTTTTTATATATTGGGACAATCAGTGATTGTGACCAGTCGGATGAGATTACATCCGTCTCCCAGATTTTAGCCAGAATATTAGTCAACCTAATCGCTAAAATTGGACCACCATATTTAAAGACCTCTGGAACCAATCCATCAGGACCAGCTGATCTTCCTCGTTTCAGATTACTTATAGCCTTTTGAACTTCAAGTAGGGTCGGGGGGCCTACTTCAATGTTCCATTCAGGTTTTCTAGGAGTAGTGGGTAGTTGTGCAGTAGCTGAAGGCCAGCTAAACTGCTCCTTAAAGTGTTCCGCCCATCGTTCTAAACGTTTGGGTTGAGAGCAGATAAGGGTTCTGTCTTTTTCCGAGATTGTCTCACTTACACTTGACTTCTTAATTCCGGTTTCTTTTATTAGTCTGAATAGTTGCCTGGTGTTGCCTACAGCCGCTGCCTTTTCCATCTCCTTTGCTTTCGTTTCCCACCACTGCTCACGATCGTTCCTTAGACTTTTAGTTAACCTAGATCTAATTTCTTTACGCTCTTCGTCATGTTCAGAGCCTGATGGGATGAGTTTACGCGAATCCATCAGTGAAATAGACTTAGAAGAAATCCATTGGTTTTTTGGAGCCCTATGGTTTAAATGACTAATAGATGTTACTGCTGTTTCCACAGCTGTTCGTATGTCTTTCCAAGCAGTATCTGGGTCAGTCTTGTTTACAGAACTGCCTAGATGTGAACTCAGTTGTTTCTAGAATTCGCATTTGGCTTTCTCGTCCTCCAGTTCAATCCTAATGGGTCTTCTTAGTGTACTTTTCCTGCGTCCATTGAGGCGCAGACAAATGCGCGCTCGTATTAAAGCGTGATCAGAGTCTAAACAAGTATTCCAATACGAGCGACAATCTACTATTGAGCTTCTCCAACGATGACTGATGACAATATGGTCTATTTGAGTCCATCGTTGGTTTGGTGCAGGTGGTCTCCATGTTAGACGATGTCTCTCCTTATGCTTAAAATTAGTGCTTGCTAAAAATAAACGATTGTCTGAGCATAGTTGCAACAGACGATCACCATTATCGGTTCGTTGAGCCGGAATACTAAAACACCCACCTAAATGTTTTTCTGTTTGATTTAAGCTGCCTACCTGGGTATTAAAGTCACCCGCTACGACTACTATGTCTGAGCGCTTAGCTTTCTGAAGAAGATCAGATAGTTTTCTGTAAAAGTCATCTTTTACTTCATCATGGCTGCAGTCAGTGGAAGCATAGGCAGAAACGACGAAAAGGCAACGATGTGTGTCCCTATCCTTCCGAGTTCTTACGGAGCCATTTAGCCGGACAGCACACAGGCGACTGTTAACGGGGATCCATTCTAGTAGTGCCTGTTCTGCCCTTGTACTTAGTGCTATGCCTACACCTGCAAGTCCGCGAGTACTAGCCAACGGGTCGCCAGATACACGGAGGGTGTATTTCGTTGGCTGTCCATTTTGGCAAGGTGAGGTTAAGTGAATGACCCCACTGGGATCCTGTATGCGTGTTTCGGAGACAGCATACATCAATGGTACGAGATTCTAGGGTTTTAGCTAAGGAGGCCTGTTGACCGATTTGGCATAGGGTACGTACGTTGAAGGCTCCAATGTGTAGTTTGGAGCGAGGTTTTAGTAGACCTGGGACAGTGTTTCGCGCACTAGAATCGTTGGCCATGGTGACACTTGAGGAGGAAACCGAGAGAGGAAGTTTAGTGTTGAAAGTCAAGGTAGAAGGAATAGTAGTAATTGAAGAGGGAGATTGATAATGAATACAGTGGTTTTGAGTGCTGTTAGAGGTATGAGGGCAGTTATCACTTCCCGGTTGCCCACACCGTGGAAGGGTTCTCCTGGGGGTACCTGAAAAGGAATTTGGGTTAGAAGTGGTCTTAATGACCTGAGAGCGTGACCGCAGTGCCCAAGGGACAACTGCTTGAGGTCGGTCACACACGACCTTTTCGTGGGTAGTTTTTGTGTTAGCTCCGTTCTTCAAAAAACCTTACCACCGGAGACGGATATCCGTGGGATAAGGCGAGGTGTGCATTTTTAGGGTCCACCATTTCTAACCCCACCCCTCCTTGTGGGAAGGCAGCATCGCTGTCATGCTGGTTGTCTGAAGGAAACACCTTACTGCTCTTCAACCGACCTGTCTGGCATGGTAGGACCTCGAGAAATGGTTGTTCCAGCCAGTATAGCTCGATTGGATCATCACGATAGGCAAGCCCGACCACCACGTCAAGGTAGCAGCAACGGTCGGGGTAGACTACCTGGTTAGTGTCTGCACGATTATCGTAACCACTGACTAGTGTTTGAATGATACGGCTCGAAATCGTTCGCAATGGAGTAGGCGCATTCAGTTATTGCTCTTCCACAAACTGAGCTTTTGAATGCTTCACAACTTGTGTTTTTATCCTTTAATTCGTTTCCTCAAACCGTATCTCCTATCCCTAATCCTTTTAATCACCGCTGGTACTGTTACTACATCTGCTATTCTGGGATCCAACTTGACAGTTTCATTTCTACGCTAATGGGGTATGGCAACTTGGATCGATGTGCATATGTACCAGGTCCTACAATGTGAATGACTGGTTAATTTTGATTTGCGGCCATTCTGATTCATGAACAGACAGAAATCACTTAGTGATAATAAGTAAATCAGTTCGTGATGAATTATGTCCCTTGACCGATTATCTACAGAAAACGAGTCGCTTACTTAACATATACAGCCACCCTTGAATGTAGAAGAGCCCCCAACCGGCCCTGTATTTTAGTTACGGGTATAACTAAAATACAGGGCCAGTTGGGGGCTCTTCTACATTCAAGGGTGGCTGTATATGTTAAGTAAGCGACTCGTTTTCTGTTGACAATCGGTCAAGGGACATAATTCATCACGAACTGATTTACTTATTATCACTAAGATAATAAGACCAAAACGTGGCACAAATCAATGAAGTCACTGACAAGTGGACTGGGCCATGTTGGTAGGTGTAAACTACCTGGTTGGGATTCGCGAGATGACAGCAACCGATCGTTAGAGACCTTGAATGACATGGCTCAAAATCGCTTGCAATGGCGAAGGTGCATCCACTCTTTGTGTTCTACCAAATTCTAATCTTCTGAATTCCTCATGTCTTTATCTTTTTCTCTTTCCAAATTTATTTCACTGTACTCTACTCCTTCAATAATTTCTTCAATCCCTAATCTTTTGGATTTCTGATTATACTCCTACTACTTCTACCACTATGGGATTTGAATCGACAACTTCATCTCTGTGCTAATGTGGTATGGCAACTCGAACTGATGTACGTACGTACGATGTTCTACGTTGTGACTGACTGACTGACCTGTATTTTAGACACCTGTACTGTTCAATTTGAAGTTCTACCATATCAATTGTTAAGCAATACGGTGTTTATGTGTGCTCCAGATCCGAAGGAAGGTACTGATGTGGTCGACGCACCAACTAGTAAACTTAAAACTCCATTTTCAAGCAGTTGTTTTTCGTACAGCGTTTTCATTAGGAATGTGAGCTCGTAGCAAGGTTATATTTTTGGTTAGTAATACCTCAATATTTCAAGATATCCTTGAGAAACTCTACATAAGACTGCATTTACACTTGGTCAAGCAGTTGTTCGCAAACGGATACTGAAACGAAAGGTCTTTGTTACGTTCGCTCAGTCAGTCAGTCAGTTACAACGTAGAACTTCGTACGTACGTACATCAGTTCGAGTTGCCATACCACATTAGCACAGAGATGCAGTTGTCGATTCAAATCCCATATTGGTAGTAGTAGTAGTAAGAGTATAAGTATTATGTGAAAGATAAGGGTTTGAAGATGTTATTGAAAGAGTATAATACGGTGAAAGAATGGGGAGAGTGGACAGCCCTGACGAACACCACTTGAGGTAACCAATTCTGATGACAGTTCGCCATAGGCTCTAACTCGACCAGTTGTGTTCGAGTAGAGAGCCCTAATGAGGTTAATGTACTTCTTTGGTACTCCTTTCAGTGACAAACATTGCCATAGAACCTCACGATCAACGGAGTCAAATGCCGCTCTAAGGTCAAGAAATACTACTATTGTGGGACGTCTGAATGTATGTCTATGTTCTAGGACCTGACGTAGAATGAATATCTGGTCTATGCAACGGGAAGCAACATAAGGGCTTCCAGATACACGAACCGTGAATCGAGATGGTTCTTTATTTTGATTAGATGAGGTTAAATGAATGACACTACTCGGATCTTGTATGCGCATTTCGGAGACGCAGCACACATCGATGGTGTAAGATTCTAGACCTATGGTCCTCTTTTGGCTGATTGTTTCATGGCCAATTTAGAAAATTCAGCACTTCGTCCAATAATCGAGAAATTTCATTTATATAAGAGATATATGGATGATACCTTCATTATTTGTGATGATAACATGGACCACAATGAAATATTAAATATTTTCAATGACTGTCACCCTTCAATTCAATTTACCTTAGAGGCAGAATCGAACCACGAATTCCATTTTCTTGATGTCCATGTGAAAAGATTGCCTGATGGTTATTTACAAAGATCTATGTATAGAAAACCCACTTGGAATGGACAATACACGAATTTCCATAGTTGGGTTCCACTGAGTCGAAAGAGGAACTTAATTCACTCTTTATCATCTAGGATTAAGCGAATCTGTTCTAGTGACAATAAATGAAGAATTACTTCATCTCCGACAGACCCTCATCAAAAATGCTTATCCACCGAGGTTCGTTGATAGCAACTTAACATCTAGACGTCAGCAACAAATAACTTTGACGGTGCAGAAGAAAACCTTGTTTATGAATATGGAATTCAAGGGAGACACGGCTGCTGAAATCCTGAATAAACGGATTTCGAAAACGTTGAATAAAACTTTCTACACAGCCAAGCTCCGAATCGTTTTCTCTAGCCGGCCTACCATTCGGGGGGGTGTTAAGGATAAACTTTCGTTTTGGGCCACATCGATGTGTATTTATAAATTTACTTGCTCATGTGGAGCACGTTATATAGGCCGCACAAAGCGATCGCTTACCAAACGTATCTCTGAACACTATCCAGCTTGGCTCCTAAAAGGTGAATGTAAGAAGATAACTAGTTCGATACAAGAGCACTTGATCAATTGTGGACACATTGCTCCAAAAGAGACGTCTTTTAAAATAATCTATAGAGTTAAAGGAACCGGATCAAAGGGAGGTCGAATCAATATTTTATGCACTGCTGAGGCATTGGCAATACACGAATTCAAGCCTGAACTTTGCGTGCAGAAACGATTTGTCCAACCTCTTACCCTTCCTTGGCTCTAATTCCCTCATTGGGTACGTTTTTTGGTTTTTGTACTTTTATCTGATTATTATCGGTTTTTTTGTTTTTTAAATTACTACTTTACATCTAATCTCTAATCAGTTATTACTATTATTACCTTATACAAGTTTTCTTGATTATTACTCAGATCATTATTATGACCTTTGTGTTTGTCACTTTTCTTCATATCTGTTAATTGAACTATTATCTGAACCATAAATTATTTTCTCCCTTACCCCTTGATTAGTACGCTACCTCATTTGTTATTTATTGTCGAATCCATTTATAATGCAATATTTTCTAGCCTCCTATAGCCATATATTTTCCATATCACTATATATACGAATGTACAGCTTAAGTAAATGATTTCGTCGAAAAGAAAATTTTCTTCGCTGAATTCTCTTTTTCTTATTCAATGACATTATGAGTTATTTTAGTTACTTAAACTTATTTGTATTTAAGTAATTGTTCCAAAATCATAGAATGAGTTTGCTTGTAAAAGATGTGTTGAAAGAAAAGAAATAAGACTCTTTATGATTATTAAAACATATAAGCGATTGTGTCACATCCCATTGTGTATACCAATTTACATGTATGTGCGGTAACACGTACATAGGGAGGAGCAATCGTGATTTGCAAATAAGGGTGGCGGAACACATACCTAAATGGCTACAGAACCAAATGAATTCGAATGGTCAAATAAGATCACAGGATAGACAAACATCTTCCTCTATTGCGAAACATTTAGTTGAAACTGGTCATAAGGTTGACATCAAATCAGCATTTGTAGTGTTGTACAAAAGCCTTCAAGGACGTATACTAAGGTTTATTGAAGCCTTGGCTATACGGAAATTGAAACCCCCTTTATGTGTTCAAAAACAATTTGTTCTTACCCTTAACCTACCCTGGTAATGCTTATTTATTAACCAGAGTAGTCATCACATTGTTTTTGTGTACTTTATTTATTTTCTTACCTTAACCTGTCTAGTTGACCTTTTAATTTTCATATAAAAATGTCTTAACAAGTATATTAGGTGTGATCAGATTGTTCGAAATGTATTGCGCTAATATATCACATAATTCTGATAAACTTCGTCTTCTCATTGCATTATCGAAAACATATAACGTTTGAAAACAATTCCCATAATGAGAAAATTCTTGACTTTTGATATTAGAGTTATATAAACAAGTCTTCTATTTTAAATTTACAAAAATTAACCAAATCTGTTTAAAATATATAATTAATGTTTTTGGCAATCGCAGAAAGCAACGTATGGGATATAAAATGTCGATTGAGTTAAATGCTATTTAGAAAAGCCAAATACATTCTCAATTCGTATAAATACTTGAAATCCAGGAGTGTTGGATTCATTAAATCAACATCAAGAGATATCCATTGTAACTGAGTAGTTGTTTAATACACGTTCTCAAAATGGTTTGTTGTCACACGTTTTAAGCAGCAAAATCCATAGTTCATGTTAAATGTAAGGAAATCCAGTGTTAGATATTTGAATAAACCGTATTATTTTTGCAAACCATCCAGTATAGAACAGAGCATTAAATCTTCAGGTGTTACAAAAGCACTGAAAAATCCAACTTCATTAGTTAGATTGTTCTCACTCAAAGCTTTTTCATCTTCGCTACATACAGAAGGAACATTGAGACAGTCGGTAGGTATTGGCATACCTAAATTGAAATAAGTGTGAAGAGATCATGTAGCTAGTGCTTATTCGAATTGTAATAAAACTAGACAGCAGGACCTATGATAAAAGGTGGTTAGAATCATGTGTTATTTCCTAAATCCCATCATTAGTAATCACTATTTATTTTTATCCTTTTGTAAGGTTTGAAAGTTTACAATTCACTAGATAGACAAGTGAGATAATGTTCTTAGATGCTCTTCGACAGAGCTCCCTTTGTGTGACAAATACAACTTGCTCCACATGAGCAAGTAAGCTAACAGATACACATTAATTTGGCCCAAAGCGAAAGCTTATCTTTCACACAAATACTAATCCGAGGCATCTTCAGGCATCACTGTCTGGCTACCTAAAGGACTACAAAATCCCTAGGACAATAAGTTACTTCTGCCTCTCAAGAGTCCTCATAAATCATTCACACCTTCAGAAGAATTGGTTTGAAAGACTATTAATTTTATCTATATGAAAGTCATTGGGTAGCCCACCATCTTTGGAGGTATTTCAGTTTAAATATCATCAATAACTAACATCCTCTATTTATTTAAACACATAAATATTGGTACAAGGAAGCACCAGATAAATATGCGCCGCACAAATCTCATTCGATTTGCGTGAGGGCTGTGATACTGCCCAGGTGCCCAGACTGAAGCAGGTGGTTTTCTTAGGGTGCCACACCCGGAGCCTTTGACCTAAAGGTCTAGTCCACAAGGCCCCCAAATGCCCTGTTACGGCCGAGAGGGGAGAGTCCACTCTCCCTCTCGAAATGCTCTCACATGGCCACGCGAATATACAGCCTCTGCCAGGAAAGTCCTACTCACTGCCTTCTCGTGGCGGGGGAGTTGTTTACAAAATTGAGAGGACGAAAAGCGAATGTCCAGCGCTTTAACTGGGTTGGTGGACACGGAATGTCCACCTAGGGGAGTTGGAAAACCCTGATTCCAAACCAATGGTGCACATGGGCTCCAGTATTTTGAAAGAACAAATGGAGTATGAACCAATCGTCGGTCATCGGCTACCATGGGACCGCATCTCCTTAAGATGCTCCACTGCCTTGTGAATTAGACCTTCAGGTTAAAGGCTCGGGGTGTGGCCCCCTAAGAAGACCACCTGCTTCAGTTTGGGCACCTGGGCAGTATCACAGCCCACACACAGTGTGGCGCATATGTACCTTGTGCCCTTTTGTACCAATATATGTGTTTAAATAAATAAAATAAAACTAGTCCACAAGGCAGTGGAGCATCGTATGGAGATGCAACATCCTCTAAGCACAAAGGCTTCAGAAAAATCTGTGTTCGCTAGTTAAATAACTTAAAACTTTTATAATAAACAATAAATCATGTTTTGTAGAAGAAATGAATAGTGGTTAGCAGTAGAATTCGTGACGTGCGTTTCGCCCTATTATTTGTGACTCGTTAGCTGAATGTGCCTGCATCACATACTTGATGTTCAGTCCCACGTTCGAAGCCAGTACCGTTTGTTTCAAACACCAAGGTTATCAACTCGGCTACCGACTTACGCTACAGGTACGAATTTGATTTAATTTTTAAGGGTTTTTGAGTTATGTCACTGCTGATATTGTTGATTGGATTTTGAAGTTTTTGTTGGCATATGTGCATCCTGGGCGAATTGTTTTGATATACCCATTATATCACAAGTTTTATGGAAGAGATCGATTGTAGCTAGCAGTGGACTGAAAAATTCAGTCAATAATATCAACAATGGAATAACTCGAAAGCCATTACAAATTAAATATTTTATATGGTTGTTAAATTGGTAAAATGATATTTTAGCTTTATAAAATAAATGCTATCCATTATGAAAATATTATCTTATTTGTATGAATGAGATTTTCTTACGCAACTATTATTATTTCTAAAATATATATGCAATCCAACTAGATTAGTACACAATGTGAGAGGATTATGGTTTTCTGCTTATTTAGACATTGAATAAAAGAAATAAAAAAACAACTTACTAGATGAGCGAAAATCCAACAGTCGACAGTCAGGATCTAAACATTTCTGATAATAACAACCATTGATAAGATCAAAGACTAGACTGAAAAAAACATGAATTAATACAAAAGGATAATATTATTTAAACACAAAAAGATAGAGAAATCTTATTCATATAAGTATACAGTTGCAACTGGCTTCAACAACAACAGTTAGAAAAAGCAGTTCAACTAGTTCGAATATAGATAGCTGAGAACTTGCACACTAAATTAGCATTTTTATTCTAATGTTCAACACCCCAAGCTAAACTTACATTTGGAGCCATAGTAATCATCAAAACTATGACGTAATTACCGATTTGCCATACGAAATATTTTCAAAGAGGTAAAATCCCTTTGTTATGTTTCTTCACCTACATATTTTATCCCTTTAAGAGCAGATTAATAGGTCTTCAGTGATGTCTATATGAAATAACATCGATCAATTGGTCATAAGCAACAAGGAATCTGGTCCAAATTAACACCGCATTAGCTTAGTGAGATATCAAATGAACGACCCTTTATTCTTTAACACAATCATATAGTTTGAATGGAAGTATATAAAATGAGGTTTATCGAAATAAATCTAAGAAATATTGTTTACTCTAGTATACCGAGATTACAAGTAATATGTACACATCAAAATAAGCTATGTGTGTAACCAGTCAACGAATACGGTGTATTTCAAGGCTTTTCATCAGCGGCAAACAGACTAAATTTACATTAGTAATATTAGTAATACCCTATTGAGGTCACCGTCAAATGTACTTGTGAATTAACACGTACTCGTGTAAGCAAATACAAGGTTCTCCTGACGTATTCCGCATACGTTTTATCTGCAAGGAAGTAAAGTATTCGCAAGTAGGGTCACCAAACGTTTAATGGATATTGAATACGACGTGGATATTGCAAAATCGCTTAAAAAAATAGTTCACAAGCAGCAATTACCAATTTTACTCCGTTTTTCAGAGGCCGTAGCCATTAAGCTCTTCTGAACTGGCGTTAATAAGAAAGAAAGTGTGAGAAACTTCTTGTTATCATAGTCACTTATTTACTGCTGTTACTCATGGGGCGCAGGCCGAGACAATTATATTACCTTAACGTTTGTCTATCACATTATTTCCTAATTGTACTTTATGATTGGAAATATTAAAGAAAAATTCGGTCGACATTAACTAAGTGTCTTGATTATCACTCATTTGCTAATAATTTGTTTTTTATTTCTTGTCTCTTGGTTATCATTTATAACCAGTCTGATGTTAAATATATTTATTGCTTCTTGTTTCTTATGTTGTTTCGAACCAAACTTTGTTGATTATGGTATGTAAAGATACTTTATGGTGATAACATTACTAACTATAGACTTAGGTCGATTGTATCCGATGAATAACCTTGGAATGTAATGAATTCATGTTATTCTGTAAATTCTCATCTTTTCGCTTAATTTAAGTCAGTCAGTCAGCTTAATTTAAATTTATCAAGAGATCAGAATGTGTAAAACTTAGTTCATTGTATACGAAAATTATTTTTTTTATATGAAACTATAAACCAGCACATATAGTAAGCAAAGATGGATAGTGGCAAGCAGTGGATTCCACGACGCGCGTTTCATCCTATTTAGAACTCGTCAGCTGGATGTACCTGCATATCAGAGCTGATGTTCACACTGGGACTCGAACCTAGTTCCTTTCGCTTCAAACGCCATCGCGTTATCCACTCGGCCACTGAGTCCTGATAGCCACTTGCTTGTGCAATGAGGTGAAGTTTGAATTTACTTAGTATTGTTTGTTTGGGAAGATTCAAACAAACAATACCAAGTGAAAAAACTGACGAAACGCGCGTTCTGGATTCCACTGCTAGCCACTATCCATCTTTGCTTACCATGCTTGTGAATTTAGGCTATGTCGAGGCAATACGCACATTATGCACATATGCCAATTAGAGACTGACCAGTTGCAGTCCTAAAAACATCAATGGGAAGATCCAAACAAACAATACTAAGTAAATTTCTCCACACAGTGTTTAGAATAAAATAAACGAACTCACTTACATAATATGATTACTTTTATGAGAACGATTGACTCGTTCACAGAAACGCAATTTCTCCACTTTCACAGCTAATTTGCCTTTATTGAAAGAAACAATTTTAATTTGATTCCCAAAATTGTATAACAGATTACTGGTTTCTTCATGAGATAATCCACGATTAAACCATTCTTGAATAATTTTCTTTATGAAACTAACGAGATTTAATGGTAATGACTGAAGAAAAACATTAGTGTCATTTTCACTAACGACTTGATGTTGCACATTATCAGAAGAATTAGTGATGTAATTATTAGTGGGTGAATAAGTGAGTAAAGTGTTATCAGTTTTATTACAACAACAATTTTCCACTGGTCGATGAATAAAATTTGAACTGTACATTGAAATTTATATAAAGGAAAAGTTTTATTATGTAAGGTCGAAAAATATTATGGAACAAAACTTAAACTCGAAATTCCTAGATACAGTATTATGTTAATGAAAGTATTTATTGGGATATATTTTTCTCCATAATGGAACTTAGAAACATGTGGTACATATAATAAAACTTCCGTAACACAGCGTATCCAGGAGAGTCTGCTCTTCCTCTCCAAATGCTCTCACATGGCCACGCGTATATAGCCTCTGCCAGGGAAGTCCTACTCACTGCCTTCTCGTGGCATTGCTGTTGTTTGCGAAATTGAGAGGATGAAAAGCGAATGCCGGGCACCTTAACCGGGTTGGTGGACATGGCGAGTCCACCTGGGGGAGTTGGAAAACCCTGATTCTAAACCAATGGCGCACATGAGCTCCAGTATCCTGAGAGAACAAATGGCGCATGAACCAGTCGTTGGTCACCGGCTACCATGGAACTGCATCTCCTTAAGATGCTCCACTGCCTTGTGGATCAGACCTTTAGACCGAACACTTCGGGTTTGGCCCCCTAAGAAAACCACCTGTTTCGATTCGGGGACCCGGGCAGTATCACAACCCTCACACAAATCAAATGAGATTTGTGTGGCGCATATATATCTGGTGCCCCTTTGTACCAATATTTATGTGTTTAAATATCATATATATATATATATATATATATATATATATGCTGAAAGATTATTAAACCATTAAGTTTGATCCGTTTAACAAACTTAATCAACTAATAATTATTCTGTTGTGATAGTTAAAATCTGAATTTAAGAAAACTTATCTATAGGTTGCTGTCACGTTTTTTTATTTGATCATTATAATCCTTAAATTATTCTTACTGATACTTGGAATATCGATTCATAGAGTTATTAAATAAAAATTCTTGTTGACAGTTTACTAAAATCCCCCGGGAAAAATATTGATTTAGTTTGTTCATTAGCATACCTTGCAGTATTATACATGTTGAACACACGAACTAATTTGAACATACTGAGTAGAATGGTAAGAAGCTATGAATTTCTTTTATTTGTTATACACGAAAAAATGTAACTATTCACTTAAAATATTTGAGATAACAAAATGGACAGTATAGTAATTTGATGAAGGGTTTACTGAGTAGAAACTGAATTAACTATGAACAAAACAAATAAAGTACATAAAAACAATGTGATGACCACTCTGAATAATAAATCAGCATTGCCAGGGTAGGTTAAGGGTAAGAACAAATTATTTTTGAACACATAAAAGGGGTTTCAATTTCCGTATAGCCAACGCTTCAATAAACCTTAGTATACGTCCTTGATGGCTTTTGTACAACACTACATTAGACGTAAATGATGAAGAGTACGGGGTTTCAAAAGTTTCGAGGTAAATCTGGATCGACATCTTTTTGAATTTTCGGTCAGCTTTTAACGAAGCACTTGATAAGTCGGGATAAGGAGGCAGGTTCATGTTTTTTTCCCTTAACTCAGTGTAACATTTCATGAAACTAATTTTATTCACGGTAGGACATTTGACATTGGTTTTATATTCAGTGCAACATGTATTCAGTACGATATTGAGTTTACATTTCCTAGTGTAACATTATTACAGGTCGATATGTTTTGTTCACCATCACAAATATGACAATCAGAATCTTTGAACTATTCTATGTGAACTCGGTGTGTTTTACAATAACCCTGTATACCCTATCGGTTACATGATGTTTGTTAACTAATTATTGTGTGTAAAATCAGTATATAAATTAGTGTATTTGACATTGTGATTTTGAGAGAGAGTAAACTGCCATTTTTACCAGTCATTGTCATTACGGTTTCCATGTATAGGCAGTAGGACCAAGGAATGTTACACTGGGCTAGATCTGTCGTCAATACACACAATGATTGAAACGTACAATTTAAAGTAGAACGTGTAAGTAATACACGTTAACATCAAGAAGGGTTTATAATCTTCAAGGTAAATAACTGATGAGTGTTAAAGGGGTAAATATTATGTTACACATTCTATTTATCAGGATTTTACGAATCAATCCGTACATAACCAATTAAAAAACCATGACCCACCCTTTCACCCCCGCCCAAATCAGTTCAATCATAAAACAAAGCTTAATAACATAAAGCATTCACAACAGGGAAACATAAAAATCCTCTGGTAAATCTATCGACCGACCCCCGGGAACAAGTGATAAAATCAAGAAAAAAAATTTGCGTTCTGTACTGATAATTATCCACCAAGGATGAGTCCCAGTAAGTCAAATTTAGTTTTGCGTGGAGTTTCAAGAAACTTTTTCTGACTAGCTTTGATCGGATTTTTGAAACAATTCATAGCTTCCAACGTATTCTCATACAGAAAATCCAGACAGTTTGTACTTGAAAAATGAACTGGACTTTTTAAATATCACTATAGTTGACCACATGATACACTCAACTCAATTATCCGACCACTCGGATCAGAACCAGAGTGAATTTCTTAATTCACGGCTAACTGCTTATTAGCAATCAGTGTTCTTCCCTTTGTTCTTGTAGCCCATTAGTTATAATACCGGCAAACGGGCTATGCTCTAATTAGTTGGAAAGCATTTTTTAGGCAGCCATTTAATACGTATCTTTGTTACGCTTGGCTGTTATTGTTGTCTTACCTTGAATATAAGCCCAACTTTAACTAACTATGACTTATAGTAGAATTACATTATATATATGTAATATCCGAGCATTCAAAACAGCCCTCTGACTCAAACAGATGTCGGGTGAGTCATTCACGTCAGTCAGTCAGCGACAACGTAGGACCAGGCACATATATGCATCGGTCCAAGTTGCCATACCTCGTTAGCACAACAAGATGAACACTGGATTCATAGACGTAATTAATTTAGTGGTGGTAGTATATAAAGGAAGGTTGTATATAAGGATATAGTATAGGAAGGAGAAAAAGTTATGAAGTCATTCACGTGATTTTAGAGAATTTGACAACCAGATCTACAACAGCATGAATGTTTATTAACACAACTACTATGCAATTAGTAAGTGGGATGAATCTTAGATACATAGGATAGTCCCTTATATAGAGTTAATCTGGATATACTGATCTTTAATCACTGACCAACCCAAAAATCACGCTGAATGGACATATCATTATAACTAGTCAAAATGATCACTATTTTGAAATAAAACTAACCATTGTTCATCAACATAAGTGACAAGAGTCCGTGCCCAAGATCGCCAATCTGACCATATACATGAAAATATTTTATTGTTATTGATTGCATACTTTGGTAATAATAATCCACTACCGGATAATTTACATGACCCAGCCAGACGGAAATTACGATTACGTGTATAGACGCCTAAATCACACACGCTTGTCCATAATTCACTTGATGATGAAGTAGATTGTTTTAATTTAGGTAAAGCAAAACAATTTTTAGCATCGTTACTGGTTAATTGAATCTCAGGAAATATATCTTGTATAAGATGATTAATTTGATTTGAACAATGCGAACATTCATTTGTGTATAGGAAATCAGTATGTAATAAACTATATTGTGACAAACTTTTACAAAGTATACGAATCAGTTGACCTAATTATTTGTTCCGATTAAATGAAAGGAAAACGAAACATTGATCAGTGGAATATAATTCAGTTGGGAAGAAAATAACAACTATATGCAATCCTAATATCGTGGTGCGAAGTTCGTAGACTGTGAAGCTGGGTAACATAGGCTTGAATCATACAGGGGGTATCATGTCTCCAAAGATATGCTTTGTTGACGAGTACCAACTACTATGAAACCTAGGTCCAGGGTTTCCTAACAAATATCATCAGCTACCACTAAGCTTTAATAACTAGGCGTATGTACAACGCAAATTGAAGTATTCACTCAAGATATCAAAACGAAAATTCCCTAAGAAGAACCTTGTTCTCGTATATTTCATGCATGTTTAGCAGTGGAATTCAGAGCAAGCACTTCATCTTACTTGGGACTCATCAAGTGAATTTAACCTCATCCAAACACAACACAAATCACATTTATGTAGTCCTAAACTACAAAAACAGTTCAAAAAATAGCGGGATCTATAAATCAATATGGTGGAAACTAATGCTAGAAAAGTACACAAACTGCAAGTTACTAAAATCTCTTTCCAAAAATTAGGTCGTAACCTCAAGTGATTGAAACCTCGCTTTGTGATATCACTTATTAAATAAACAATGTCTATTGCTTTAAAACTGCTACTTGATAGATGAAGTAATCTACAATTTTCCGTATTATATGCGTCCAAAAGTATGTGTTTGTGAATGCCTTCGAATTTGTACATAACCCATATTTTGCTAGTTATCAGCCTATTGGGATATGCATACATGGTAAAGCATAAAGTGTAATTGTAAGCAAAGATGGATAGTGGTTAGCAGTGGAATCCAGGACGCGCATTTCGTTCTACTTGGGACTCGTCATCTGGATGTACCTGCTATGTCGAGGCAATACGCACAGTATGCACATATGCCAATTAGAGACTGACCAGTTGCAGTCCTAAACATCAATGGGAAGATTCACACAAACAATGCTAAGTGAATATAAAGTGTAATTACTTGATTAGATACCGAAATATATTGATGTTGTTCGCATAATTTTACCTACTAATCTATAATTAGTAGATAAGTAGTGGTTTAATGGTGAAAGCGATTAGCTTCAATAAATAAGTCGGAATCTGCTCCACTAAATTCGGTTTGAGCAGTCGATTAGTGTTTTATTCTTCCTTGATAAATATTTTTTATCTTCTGCACTACACTCAGCTTAAAGCATATCAGAGCTAGAAAGACCAGGAAACACGGAACGTTTCAAAGAACCAAAACAATGCATAGTATTAAAAACACAACAGTTTATACAAAATTTGTAAGAGAAACATTTAGTATCTTTTTATCCTTTCAATGGCGCTGACTGGTTGGAAATGAATTAATCATCATATACAAATTTGAGCTTGAACTGAGTATGCAATTGTTAGAATTCAATTTTACTGACAGTTAGTAAGACTGCCCCCTACCCCCCCAAAAAAACAAATACACACATGCAAACGGCATAACTCAAAGTCGAGTAAAAAAGCTTATGCTTATTAAATGAGTTGCAACGACAAGGACAACCAAAAAATATATCTATTTAAATGTGACATCTGACCTACCTTGTTCTAAATTGCTTTGAAATAAAAGATTTTTACTGTTGATTATGACATGTTGACTAAATTTCTTTGAAGTGCTGTGAATATTTAAATAAATAATAAAACATTTTCTTCATATTATGCACAAGGAAGTTGCAAGAAAATGTAATACCATTCCGACGAATTCTCGATACTGCGACTAATATCAGTCAGTCAGCTACAATGTAAGACCAGGCACATATATGCATTGGTCCAAGTGGCCATACCTCATTAGCACAACCAGATGAACGCCGAATTAATAAAAGTAATTAATTTAGTGGTGTTAATATATAAAAGAAAGATTGTATGTAAGGATATAGTACAGGAAGAAAGACAGATATGAAGCAATTTTAATCTCAAGGTTTAAGGGAAGATAAAGGGTGTGTACATCTGCGTCATTGTGATCAATTCTGAGCCATGTCACCTAGAGTATCCAACCATTGGTTACGATAGTCACGCGTACCCCCAACCAAGTAGTCTGCATCTACCAACATGGCTCAGACTAGAGGTTAGTGACTTCAAGCACTGATGCTACGTTTTGGTTTGGCAACCCCTAACTTTCTTCCAACCATCCCCTACACTAGTCAGCATAGCGCATCGTGGTAATCGGTGTTCAGGCATACGTAGCACGTGACCCAACCATATATATAGTAATAATAATGCTACACATTTGTTTGCAAAAAGTTCAACTTACCTTGCATCCAATATTAATATTTCACTGGGTTCAATAGTTACATCATAGAAGAATTGGATAGAAGCACATAAAGCCTGAAATGAAAACAAAGACTAAAAGAGTTAAAAGTAAGCTAATAGAAGTTTTAGGACTTGAAGAAGACAGAAAAAGTGATAACACAAAAACCTTACCATTCTACCTAGGTAATTATAATCTGTATTTGAAGAATTAAAATAACGAAGATCACAATCGAAGTCTATTTAACATAGATTGGTCGAGTGAATTCAAACACATCAAAAGCTTACGTGAGAAAGCATGGTAAGAGAGAAACGCAATTATGGGTGGTGTTATTGTGAGTTAATGAATAGCTCATCTACTTGATGTTAATGCCACAATATTTTGTTTGTACCCGCCCAGTATTATATACATATATGCGACTTATAAAAACAAATAGTAACAATAACTGATAAAGTCATCAGGTTCTTTGGGTGTGAGCGACACTCTAATGAATAGGGCTGAAAACAATCGGTTCCTCGAACAAAAGTAGGTACAGCACGGTTCTAACCTGGGGTTTGTTGGGTAAAAGTCGAACACTTTAACCACCAAGCCTCCGCACGAATTACATATATATCAACTCAACATTTAATATATGAGCTTCCTATCCACTTCTAGACTGCTTTACATATCCGGTTGAAAACGTGTGATATGGTGAATTCGATAGAAGGTTACAGCTGACGCAATTATATCACAGACTACGAGATGTAAGTGAAGTTGGAGTTTTTGTGATATCTGATCTGAATGGATTAATTGTAATACTTCAATTGTTCTTCTTAACAATATCATGAACACGTACTTCAAAGAGAAGACTTCAGAAAAACAATGAAAGCTTCACGACTAATTCATACAGCTCAGAGATCACAACGACTCCGACATCCTTATTCTGAGTTACAAATATTCTCCATCATCTTAAGAGAATATAGTAAAGTGAAAACTGGATAAAAATCAATGTGCTATTAAGCAAAGTACTACATATAGGAAAACACTTACTAGAATTATTTACCTTTAAAAATGTATTAACAGCTACTTCCCCATCTTTATCTTGATTAGATAACTTACAAAATTCTATATCCAAATACAATTTAGCTGGTCTGTCTAAAAAGAAAATAAAAGGATATATTCATAAAGATATATAAGTGAGATTTTTAAGGATGGTGGTCCAGTACTAGCAACGAGATTGACTGAGGTCTTAGGTAGAATCTGGGAACTGGACGTAATTCCATCTGACTGGTCCCAATCACTGATTGTGCCAGTCTATAAGAAAGGACAAAAGTCCTCCTGTGACAATCACAGAGGGATCAGTTTGACTAACATAGTGTCTAAAATATTAGCTTCAATAATACTAGGTCGCCTAACCAAAGCTCGTGAAGAGCAGACTAGAGAAAACCAGGCTGGTTTTCGACCTGGACGTGGTTGCATAGACCAGATATTCACCCTACGTCAGGTCCTAGAACATAGACATACATTCAGACGTCCCACAATAGTAGTATTTCTTGACCTCAAGGCGGCATTTGACTCCGTTGATCGTGAGGTTTTATGGCAGTGTTTGTCACTGAAAGGAGTACCAAAGAAGTACATTAACCTCATAAAGGCTCCCTACTCGAACACAACTGGTCGAGTTAGAGCCTATGGCGAACTGTCATCAGAACTGATTACCTCAAGTGGCGTTCGTCAGGGCTGTCCACTCTCCCCATTCTTGTTTAACTTTGTCATTGACATACTTTTAGAAATAGCACTTTCATCAACTAAACCTCCAGGAGTTGAACTTTTACCAGGAGGCTCACTTGTTGACTTAGAATACGCCGACGACGTAGTTTTACTCGGTGAAGACGCTGACAACATGCAGAGTCTTCTGACCACTATAAGCAACTATGCAGGCATGTTCGGTATGCGATTCTCTCCCTCGAAGTGCAAAATGTTACTTCAGGATTGGGTTGCATCGGCACCTAAACTAATGATAGGGAGTGAAGTAGTTGAGCGTGTTGACAGCTTCACTTATCTTGGGAGTCTCATCAGCCCTTGTGGTCTGGTGTGTGACGAAATCTCAGCATGGATACAGAAGGCTCGTCTAGCTTTCGCCAACTTGCGCCATTTATGGTTTTGGCGAGATATCCGTCTAGCAACAAAAGGACGGGTTTACTGTGCAGCAGTTCGTTCCGTCCTACTTTATGGCAGTGAAACATGGCCGATAAGAGTAGAGGATATTCGTAGGCTACTAGTATTCGATCATAGGTGTCTTCGAAGCATTGCTCGTATATCCTGGGACCACCGGGTAAGTAATGCAGATGTTAGGAAACGGGTACTAGGTAAGGATGGCAAATCGATTGATGAAGTAGTGAAACTTCATCAGTTGAGATGGCTGGGACATGTGTTACGTATGCCCAATCACCGACTGCCCCGACGTGCAATGCTTTATGGTGTAGGAGCAGGTTGGAAGAAAGCTAGGGGTGGCCAGACCAAAACATGGCATAAATCCATGAAGTCGCTGACAAGTGGACTGGGCCGTATTGGTAGGTGTAGACTACCTCGTTGGGATTCGCGAGATGATAGCAACCGATGGTTAGAGATCTTGAATGACATGGCTCAAGATCGTTTGCAATGGCGAAGATGCATACACTCTTGGTGTTCTACCAAATTCTAATCTTCTGAATTCTTCATGTCCGTATCCTTTTTCTCTTTCCAAATTTATTTCACCGTATTATACTTTTTCAATAACATCTTCAAACCCTTATCTTACACATAATACTTATACTCCTACTACTTCTACCAATATGGGATTTGAATCGACAACTTCATCTCTGTGCTAATGTGGTATGGCAACTCGAACCGATGTACGTACGTACGAAGTTCTACGTTGTAACTGACTGACTGACTATATAAGTGATACGATGATGTAAAATAAAGTGATAACGATGTGATATCAGTTTGCTAAATCCAATATAAACCATAAACCTAGTAGACGAAAAAAACTGCAGGACTAATAATTTACATGAAAATAAGTTGAAATAGTTAATTAAATGTGGGTCATACAGAATAATGAGTCCCTTTGAGCCGTCAATAACGAATATAATAACACAATAAAGTAAAAATAGAAAAAGAAATTTAATGCAACATTGATTGTATTAGTTATAGAAAAGTTGAACGTATACAGATTAACAGTGTGCTGAAATTCTAGAAATGTTACTGTATTACTGAAGTCGTCTGTCAGACACAGTGATTCGACGTTTGCAGTCTGAAGTTTCTTCTATATAAATAGTCCTGGACAGTCAACCTGAAGTATATTATTTAATTTGACTTCTAAGAAACTTGAGATATTAACCAAGCAAGATTTTTGTCGAGAGAAACTGATTGTAAACAGAATTCAATCTCCCTCTGGATTCATCAAACCAAGCGTTTAATCGTAAGCTGCGTAAATTTATTTCTTGTGAAGGGTGTAGCTAACAGAGACTCACATGATGTATTAATATACAACTTGATACTCGTAAAACCTACCTACCATAATTACCTCATAGTGACAACGCGAAGAAGGTGCCATTTGCCTAATTAAACGAAAAACAAAAACCAAGAGTATTTTACAATAAACTCATCAGTACTTAGTAAAAATGTAACCTAGTGGTAACATTTAACTAACTACATGATTCGAACTTTGAGTTTTGTTTTCCAAGAATTCCAAATGTGAGGAAAAGGACATGAAAATCTAGATGTGAAATTTTTATTTACAAATAGAAGACAACATGAAAGTTTATACATATATGGGCGGTACACTGAAGTGGTCTTACACAATGATGATTCACCACAAGTACAACATGCGCCTTAAAGTTATACGGAAATAGAAACTACTACTGCTTCAGTATTTACACTGTTTAGTTTGAATACTATCTAACTTGACATTTAACAGACGAATTATCCTACATTCAATATCTTATACGAAAAAAATGCTGATGTCTCACAAGTGTATTATCTATGCATTGCTCTCTGGTTGGAGTCCTAGAGATGGTGTAACTCAGCGGCTTAAGACATCATCAGACATGTTACAAAATAGAATCCATTACTAGCACGACCGTAATTTTTTTAAAAGAGGGATAATCCTTTAATCGAAAATATTCCTTCCGAACTGTCGGTCTTGTGATACACACCATGCTTGTTCACACTTTTTTGTCTATTTATCTGTTCGACTATACTCCAGCTTCTTCCTATCTCTTCATGATGTAATTTTTATATTGTGCTGTGCATATTTGTTCTAGTGTCCAGTTGTACCAGTGCTTACGTGTGTTAAATAAATAAATAACTCCATTGTTTTGGAAGATTATAATGAATGCAATGCTTTAATAAAGATGAAGTTATAGGAGAAAGGTCGGTAATAAAGATTTTAAAAAATATTGTAAAATTATGAGGGGATTTGATAGCTAACAAAGTGATTCTGTTAGAGGTATGTGAGCGATTACTACTTTCCAGTTTTCTACATGGTAAAAGGATTCTTCTTCTTGAGGTACATGAAAAGCGAGCTAGATCAATAATGATTTTAGAAACTTGAGAGAGTGACCATAGAGTTCAAAAAACAACTGCTTACGACTGGTAACACATTGCTTTTTTGTCAGTAGCTCCTGATATATATCAAACCAGTACTTTTTAGACTTTACCGCCGGAAACGAAAATCCATCCGGGAAGACGAAGCGTGTCATTTTTAGAACTGATCTTTTCTAACCTTTTTCTTCCATTGTAAGAATTCATCATCAATACAGATCCTGGGGGTTTGATGGAAATACGTTACCGTTGTCACGCCTTAGTACAATCAGAAGTTTAGCTTCACGCTTTGCAGCTCTCCGACCGACCTGTCTAGCATAGTAAAACCTAAAATAAAAAGTGTTGTAGTCAGTAAAGCTCGACTGGGTCATCACGACAGGTAGGCCTAACCATCACTCCAAGGTGGCAGGAACAATATCGGCATTCATATGAGATTTTGTACCGACACTTCCATAATATGAAAGTTGGATAATTTACACTATAAGCCATGAAAAACGAATAAGTCTACTGAAGGCCATACAATTTTACGGGTTTTAATGCTCCTTTAACCAGATACTTTTAAATTGTACAGCCTTTCTTGTACTTGGCGGAAACGTGACTTCATAGTCACAAGATTATTTTTTGCATCTCCCAAAGTTACCCCTGTATTATATTTAAACTGATCTGTCATGAATGCTTATCCACTAAAACTGCCCCAATATGCATTAGTACAGGAAAAGGGGACATTGGTGAACCGAAAATAAGCATACCAAATGTAGTGGAGAACTACATTTAAAAAAGGTGATTTTAAAAGAATGAATGGAAATTACTTAATGCAATAAAAAGGCCATTTAAAATAAGGTAAACTCTACGAACCTTTCGGGAAACAAGCCATAAATAAATGAAAAAATTAGTGACTTAGTTTACTAACCAATTGAATTAGTATTTTGTAAGATGTGGAATACATCTGATCGACACATCCCATCCCTTTTATTTACTTAAGCACACAAACATTGGTTCAAAAAGGCACCAAATATGAATCCGTGACACTTTGTTACTCGATTTGCGTGAAGGCTGGAATACTGCCCAGGCGGCCAAACCGAGGCAGTACAATACATGAACAAGATAAAGTTACACGTATGTAAACTACATCAATAAAACATACTTGTAGGTGTAAAAGAACGATTGAATTCCAGATGCTAAAAATGAACGCTGACCTTCATTCCCAAGAGATAAACTTTCATAACTAAAAACCATCATTTCCTAACAGTATAAAAAGGAAACTTTGGTTAAAAAAGTACACCATAACATATATATATATCGGTTCAGTCAAATGATTATTTGTGAGGATCTGCATACAACGCCCGTTTGAGATGTATCATTTCACACACCAGTAATCTAGTGAACTCAATCCTCCTTTTATCAAAGTCTGTTAATACGAAAACTTACAAAACATTAAAAAATTGGTAAGTTTGTGCTTTCTTTAAAAACACCTGACTGTTAAAATTAGTATTGAATACTGATGAGTCTTTAGGTAACGAAACACGATTTAATTGAACAGAAACCTATAAATCAATGAAAACTTTCTTTCTCTATTTATAATAAACACAATGCAGAACAAGTTTTGCTCAGTTGAATTATTCAAACACAGACTTATAGAGCTTTTCATTGGTAGATAATACATCAGAATATTATCATACTCTCAAAAAACTCAGCTATTTCATCCACCTTTAAAACCTAGTAATCAAGTATAAACTTTATTTATTTATTTAAACACATAAATCTTGGTACAAGGAAGCACCAGATAAATATGCGCCTCACAAATCTCATTTGAATTGTGTGAGGGCTGTGATACTGTCCAGGTGCCCAGACTGAAGCAAGTGGTTTTCCTAAGGGGGCCACAACCCGAGTCTTTGACCTGAAGGTCTAGTCCACAAGGTAGTGGAGCATCTTAAGGAGATGCAGTTCCATGGTAGCCGGTGATCAACGATTGGTTTATACGCCATTCGTTCCTTCAGGATACTGGAGCTCATGTGCACCATTGGTTTGGAATCAGGGTTTTCCAACTCCCCTAGGTGGACTTGCCATGTCCACCGACCCGGTTAAAGCGCTGGACATTCGCTTTTCGTCCTCTCAATTTTGTAAACAACACCCCCTCCACGAGAAGGCAGTGAGTAGGACTTTCCTGGCAGAGGCTATATATTCGCCTGGCCATGTGAGAGCATTTCGAGAGGGAGAGCGGACTTTCCCCACTCTCGGCCGTACCAGGGCATTTGGGGGATATAAACTATTATACCTATATGTACGAAATCCTATGATACTAAACTCAGCTTCGCTTCTAAAACTGAATACGCAAACTTATCATCATCCACAGATAATGCGTCAAGCAAGTTACTACGAACAACTTATATTCTTTTCACAGTCATTTCAGGACAATACAAAAATGATCTAACGTAACAGAATGGTTACTGGTTATTTTTCAAAGTTGAAATCATGAGTCAATTGAAGCTAGACCACCATCGAAAACCTGGAAGCACTGGACGGCCGTTTCGTCCTATTATGGGACTCCTCAGCAGTGCGCATCCACGATCCCGCACTCGCGAGATTCTAACCCAGGATGGGACGAAACGGCCGTCCAGTGCTTCCAGGTTTTCGATGGTGATCTAGCTTCAATTGACTCATGATTTCAACTTTGAAAAATACTGAAATCTCCACAAATCCCCTTCTGATTACTGGTTAATTTGTCTTGTCAAAGGAACATTATCTTCGAGGTTATAGGAAAATAAAAAAGGGAAGTGAAAGTACAAGTTATATTTTGAAAAACTGGAAGTATCATATAACAAGAAAATAGTAAAACAAATCTTTAAGTTTGTCGTAAATCGCAACTACCGAGTACTTTTGAAAGATAATATGGCTAAAATTTATTTTAGAATGCGATTTATTATCTAGAAAAGTCAAACCAATTCACAGATATTTAAAAATGATTATTATATAAAAAAATGTACCTGACCAAACTGCTTGGCAAAGTTAATGGCATCTTCTTGTTTACGGAATATTTTCCTAACACTTGTTGGACCTTTTAGTCTATGAAAAAGGGAGAAATAAACGATTAAGTTGACTCTTATTAATAATTGTCGAAATCAATACCTTCTGCTATGACAGTTTCATCAAGAAGAACTAAAAAGAAACAAAACTTATTTCATATAAATTACACACTTAAGAAAAGTCGAATTATCTGTCAAGTACCTTGATTTTAGAAAAGTTGTAGAGTTAATTATGCTATTCAAGTTTTCGCAGACGATCACGTATAATCCTAGCTATACTTGTAAGGTTTTTTAACGAAGCTACAGAATAAGAGAAACTGTCATTTACTTAAAGTAATTGGCGGATTGTTCGTGTTTGTTGAGTAGTGATAAATTCAAATCAAAATTAGGCACGAACTTTAGATTTATGATAGAACGGATAGAGCAAAAACTTGATAATTAGATACCCTGAAAGTATGGATTATGACCTTGATCTAAGAACCATTTAGACTTAATTTCTTAAGCGAAACACTTTAGTTTTCCCAAAAAACAACCACTGTCTTAGTTGTGACACTCAGACAGCCTGGGCACACAGTTTCTGACAGAGAGGAATGTTTGGTGTGTTTATTCATTAAATGCATTAAAAGCGATTTTACCATTGGGGAAAGACAAATAAGTTTATCGATGGTGTTTTCAAGTTATTCAAACTTCTATTAATTACTGTCTACATTTCAGTTATATTTGCGATGGATCGTAAGTTTTAGATGGGATTGAAAGCGTTGAGTAATTGCTTTTTCGTAGCATTCTGAGCACAGACTGATGAAATGACATGATAGTTTGATCAAAATTACAGGGATTACTGTCATCACCAAAAACAAGGTGGAACCAGGTATGAATATGCATCCGGTCACGTTACCAAATCATACGAAAACCAAAGGGATCAAAACAATAATAGTGATAGGATTATTACTGTTGGTATCTGATCTCTTTCAGAGATACAAACTCAAAGTCTCACAATAACATTGAGAATTTATACGTGTCTATCCAAAAAGTATATTTCACCTGCGCTTACTCACAAACACTGTAAAACAATTGAATGATCTTGATTATATATATATATATATATATATATATATATATATATATATTACTGTAAGAACTACGACTCGAGTAAACCTACTTAATTACTGTCTGTTAACAGGTCAGACCTGTTTTTTGATTGATCGCACCTAATATTCGTGTTGTTTCGTTGTACTATTTAAACTAGGATAAATGTCAATTTGGTTATTTATTATCTGAAGAAGTGGCTTACACTGAGTCACGAAACGTCGGAAAATCTGGTTTTTCTACTCATTGGGATATTACAAATATATTATTTATTTATAACAATCTACCCAATGCTCAATCTATTCGAAATTATCAAATCAAAACTTGGTAATGATACCTATCTTGGATATGATTCGTGATTGCCATAATTATGAAAAAAACAATGTGGATGTAAATTGTTACATAAACTGTAAGAATATTATAAACACGAATAACATACGTAGCCTGATAAGGTTGTGGTATTTGACGTACACGAGCAACAGCTGCATCTAAATCCCATCTTTTGAGTCTATACAGAATTTTGGAAGAAAAGATATAAATGAAAGAAGGAATTATTTACTAAATACGTAAGTCATTATATTAAGAGCAGATAGATTCACTCATCAAGTAGCCTGAAGAGAAATATCTTGATTTAGACAGCTACTTACTCAAATATTATGCAAAACCTTCATGATTACCTGTACAACTTAAAAAATTACATAAAATAAAAGTGAATATAATAAAGTAACATGTGTTGTCTATTTGTAGTATAATAAATTCCATCCACTTAAATCAAATTACTTGGACTGGGGTTGAAATCTGTACTATACACTTGAATAATATTCGAAAACAAAAATCGTGCTCAAATTAATGAGAATGAAAATTAAAAAATAAAATCACACAAGAGGTAAAAATAAATGCTTTTGGAATTGTTGACCCACACAGAACAGTGAACATTTATTCTAGGATATTTATAGAGATGACAAGAATGAAAAACATTAAGAGTATCCTGAGTTTCTGAAATGTTGCGCATATGTTCATAGTTCCGTCAACTTAAAACATAAGTATTCAAAAGAAGTGGACGACAGGTATCAAACTGGAGAAGTTCATTTGTTAGATGTCATAAGGCCTAACATAAGAAATACCAGTGATTTAAAGATTGCATGAAACAATGACTACACATCAACAACTAAAGTATGAAAGTGTATTGCAGTAAAAGTTCCGTCAACCAATTCATCACTCAATAACCTTTCAATCCCCCATTTCACAGCAGAATTACTAGTGAACTTAAGGATCAAACTTGAATTTACAGGAACCATAACTATGGAAAAGACAAACATTTGCCAATCATTTTAATTTTAACTCATTCCTTAGGTACATTTATACAAGCTACACTTTACGTGTCAAAGCGAATTCAACTACCCAGTTGCCCAAACCAAAGTGGGCAAAGTGGGTCTCGAACCCGGGACTCAGTGAGTGAAAGTCGAACGCCTTAACCATTAACCCGCCTCATTACTTGCTAACCATACTTTAACCTTTTACCTTATGTCCCGGAAGATTATGAAGGCTAAACGGGGTTTTGGAGAAACCTCATTAGCAGTTGAATGCCTTAAAACCTACACGGTCCTGCGTCCGACACTAGATAAGGTTAAACCTCCAAAAGACATATTTCTTCGTAGAATAGAGCCGTCCTATAAACTGACTAATATAGGTGGACCTGCTAATACACAGTCGATTATGCAGGTAACGTAAACAAAATTCAAAAACACTCACCGTTTCATGTTGATAACATAACGTAGGACAGCCTATTAGTGGATATTATTTGTTCGAATATTCGGACAGTGGACTGAAAGTAAGTGTTCTGAAAGAATTAGATGACGGTTTTTTTTAATATTTTAAGAAAATAACTTGAATTTTTTACTACATATCTTATTTTGAGACGGTATGATAGCGTATTTATTATTTTGAGCTGTGGATATTTTCCGTAAATTTTTGATATCCAAATTAGATGTCTCAAAGTCAGAGATTTTGCTGTTAATCTGAGGCACTATCATTGGGGATTGTTTGCAAAGTTGTACTTTAATCACGTAACTAGTTCTCAATACTAATGACTACAAGTAGTTAACATTGTAAATCAACAAACGAGGCTTAACAGCAGTAACATGTATCAATTACTAATATTATTAAACATCAGTGACATATATATACATTTATAGTTCACTTTTCACGGTCTTAAGTGATGCAGTGATCGGTATATTCGATCTCTGGTAGTTAGACGTATATATCACTTATCTAACAGGTACTGAAAGTTGGTAAACTTTGCCAAAACTCAGTATCCATACTGAGACCTGAGGGTTGATAAGACTCCGAAATCATTAAAGTGATCAGCACACTCAGATGCTCCACTATTTAAAGTTAAACTATGCAGTGATATACACTAAATGTGGAGTAAATTCTTACATTTTGAGGAATATGGACATTTCTATAACTTTGCATGGATGTAAAATGTGCTTATAAATAAGACTTTAGGAAATTGTCAAATAACTAAGTCAATCGACAGTATGCAAAGGAAAGACTATATGACGCAATGATCATAAATAATTAGTTAATAAATTTCAAAAAGATTTGTTTAAAATGTGTTTTACTCCATCAGTGGATATCGATTACTCGATGGGTAAAATATTTACCCAGTCCCCTGATTTCGGGGTCTTCCCCAAAGTTTGGGGAAATTCTGAGGAAGAACCCCAAAATCCGTGTTGCGTAGTTCCGTAAACAATTTATTATTCAGGGGATTGTTTAAGCCTTTTACGATGAAATTACAATAAGTTCTAATATTTTGTTACAAGATAATCAAGTTCACTACGCATTTTAGTACCACTGTTTCGTCCTTATTTTATTATTTTATTTAAACACATAAATATTGGTACAAAGGGGCACCAGATATATATGCGCCACACAAATCTCATTTGATTTGTGTGAGGGTTGTGATACTGCCCGGGTCCCCGAATCGAAACAGGTGGTTTTCTTAGGGGGCCAAACCCGAAGTGTTCGATCTAAAGGTCTGATCCACAAGGCAGTGGAGCATCTTAAGGAGATGCAGTCCCATGGTAGCCGGTGACCAACGACTGGTTCATGCGCCATTTGTTCTCTCAGGATACTGGAGCCCATGTGCACCATTGGTTTGGAATCAGGGTTTTCCAACTCCCCTAGGTGGACTCGCCATGTCCACCAACCCGGTTAAGGTGCCCGGCATTCGCTTTTTGTCCTCTCGATTTCGTAAACAATAGTGTACTCAGTAGCTTCAGTAATGTCGAGCAAACATTCCTGGCCACAGGAGAGTACTACCGTACTGGGCTGAAATTGAACCTTCTGAGGATTTCAAAAATTTGGCCACGCAGGGTTAATCTTAGAGAACTCAAATTACGACTCGAATACGACGGCCTTTCGGTGTCCAAAAGCTCTAACCAACAGTTATGACCTATCCTAGGTCATCTTATAACTCCGTATTTCAGTGAAGTATTCATGGTTGGTATCTATGGTGGTAAAATAAAACCATCTGATTTCAACCAATGTCCGCAACTGTTGTAACTGAGTTACAAGAGTTGCTGACAGTGGGTCTTAATGTAGATAAATATAAAGTGCATCTGACAGTGAAATTAGTAGCTGTGATTTGTGACACTCCAGCTCGGAACAGCGTTAGCTGTGTCGTTGGCCATAATAGTACAGCTGGTTGTGACAAATGTGAGGTTTTGAGGACACGGCTTAGTGAGCGAATGACTTTCTCCAATGGCAAACACGACTTAAGTAATGTCACATTTCGTAGCCAGACCCAATGTCATCATCATCGAGGTAGAAGTTCACATTGTCCACATTATTATTCAATCTTGGTCGTAAATTTTTCGGATATTCTGTAGAAATAGAGGGTAGAAACCGCAAACTCAGTCAACAGCTTGGGACTTCATCTAAGGAAGTACGGGGATTATCCCGGTCAGTAATTATGGGAAGATTCAATGACTACTTTAACAAAATCCAGATCAGTGAGACTATAATTTATGGACGACCTTTGAGCGACGCTAGACTGATCTTGAGAGTGTCCACCTAATAACCAGAACAAAATGGGGGTTATAAACCCGCGTGATATACTAGGATTATGATTTACAGTTGATGGTTAAGGTTGGGAATTAGATTTATGGTTTTCACTACGAACTGACATCAGCTATAATACCAAAATGGTGTTTAGCCAAATGAGCGGATGAATCTCGTGCCAACATCTAAGACCTGTTATCTTAAGTCTGATTGGCTCTCCCATAAACTATAGTTTCGCCGGAAATAAAGGGGACATTCCTTTTAGGAAATACGGAGGATATAATGGGAAGATGCGCCAATTTACTTTTCCGCCTGTCACAAGAGAACAACGTGGAGTTTCCCCTTTCTTTTCCTCTGCGTTTCTAAATTTCCTGAACTGTCTACTTTTCGACTACATACACGCCGAACCGTCTACTTTTCATCCGAATATATGGGGCCACGCTGTACTTTCCAAAGCGTTTTCACAAGATTGTCCCATGATCCATCCAGAATCAATCAATATTGCCTTGAATATAAAAGCTTGGATTGGAAACAGTACAAGAAAAATAACGTAATAGCACAGCGAGAAGATAGGGTCGACTCACACTTAACACTTATTTTAGAGCACATTCGGCTATGGAGTGCAAATAACAGATGCTTGATACTAGGAGACTTTAATGCACCTGACATTAGTTGGACTGAGATGACCACGAAATGCTCTATAAACTCATTTGATAGCAGGCTCTTGGAAACAGTAATGGAACATGCATTAGTACAACATGTATCCAAACCTACACGTTTTGGTGTAAACCAAGGTTCTTCTCTGTTGGACTTGGTAATTACCCATGAGACTGAGGATATTGCCAACCTAAACATTCTTCCCCCGTTAGTAAATAGCGATCACGCTGTTTTATCATTCACGTTTAGAGCTAGCAATATGATATACGATCAGATTAAGCCTCGCCCAAACATATGGAGAGCTAACATACCAGAAATTCAGGATTGTGCTACTAAGATAGATTGGTCAGTAGATACTAGCTCATCAGTTGATGAGGCGTGGTCTGTATTTAAAGGCAAGTTTAGTGCAGTCACGTCCCCGTTTATACCATACTTGGTGCCACGTAGACCGAACAATAGTCCACCGTGGATAAATAAAGTTAAGAAACTCCTTAGGCGTAGGAAAAAACACTGGAACATGTTCATCTCTACTGGCTTAGAACAGTACAGATCTAGTTATCGTAAGATTAGAAATAATTGTAAAGCGTTAATTAGTAGGACTAGACGGTCATAAGAAAAACAATTGGTTAGGGATTGCAAACATAGTCCAAAACGGTTATACTCGTATATAAAGAGGCGAACTCAGAGAAGTGATGGAATACCATCACTTTTGATACAAGAAAATCCGTTAAGTTTGGCAAGAAATGATACCGAAAAAGCGGAAGCTTTTTCGGAATATTTCAGTAAAGTTTTTTCTACCAATAATGAGGAACGATCACCTATTCATTGTGATTGTGGCGACTTGTTGATGGACCCTGTAGTTATTAAGAAAGAAACTGTTTTAAGCCTACTTCAGCATCTCAAACCTGATAAGTCCAGTGGTCCTGATGATATTCATCCTCGGATTATGAAAGCCCTCTCAGATGTTATTGCTGAACCCTTAGCGATGCTGTTCGATATGTCCCTACGACAGTCCAGATTGCCCAGAGACTGGAAGGACGCAATAATCAGTCCGGTGTATAAAACTGGGGGTAGGGATTTAGTTAGTAACTATCGACCCGTCAGCTTAACTAGTGCAGTTGTAAAACTAATGGAAAAAATTATTAGGATGGCTGTTATAAACTACGTGGAAAGACATGATCTTTTGTCAAAGGAACAACATGGTTTTCGAAAAGGTCTATCATGTTTGACAAATCTTCTCATTGCAAGAGAAGATTGGGCTGAGGCAAAAGATCGCAATATTCCTGTAGATGTCATTTTCATAGATCTAAGCAAAGCCTTTGATAAGGTTTCTCATTCTGGTCTTAAATTGAAACTAGAAAGTTTTGGAATTCATTATGCAGTCATAGACTGGCCAAGTGACTTTCTTCATTAAAAGGAGACAACGGGTAAGAGTAAATGGGGCTCTCTCATCGTGGGAACCAGTAAAAAGTGGCGTCCCCCAAGGCACGATTTTAGGTCCTCTTCTCTTTTTACTTTATATAAATGAATTACCAGCTATAGCTAAGTCATCCGTCCTACTATTCGCCGATGACATTAAGATTTGGAGACCCATATATAGTATGTCAGACAGAATAGTTTTACAGGAAGATCTTAACTCACTAGTTGCATGGATGAATGGGTGGTCACTAGAAGTAAACCCTAATAAAAGTGTTGTGATGCAATTAAATAACTACGATGATTCGTATCACTACACAATATGTGGACTAGTGTTGCCCAAAGTAAGAAACTATAAAGATTTAGGAGTCATACTAAGTAATGATCTCAAAACAACCAGTCGCTGTAAGGCTGCTGCTGCAAAAGGCTATAGGGCATTATGGTCTATTCGTAGATCTTTCCGGTATCTGGATGGGGAAATGTTTAGATTATTATACCCAACTTTCGTACGGCCATATTTGGAATATGGGATTCAAGCAGCGAATCCTTGTTTCAAATATGAGGCGGATATGTTGGAACGAGTCCAACGCCGCGGGAAAAAAATGGTAAAAGGCTTATCTAGCCTATCTTATGAAGACAGACTGAGACACCTCAACTTATTTCCGTTATCTTACCGGCGAATACGGGGTGATCTAATATTGGCATATCGTATCCTGAACGATGACCTTGGTACTAACATGTCCTATATTTTCCTCTCGTCTAGGGCTGGGCATTTGAGAGGACATTCAAAGAAAGTCCAAAAACCGAGATCAAATCGTCTACGTCTGGAGTTTCGTTTCTCGCACCGAGTAGTGAATTACTGGAATTCTCTACCAGAACACGTAATATCAGCACCTTCTGTTGATATATTCAAGACGAGATTGGACCTCCACAGTGTAACAAACTGCAAGGATTAAAATAGGTCACTAGACCTCCTATCCTTATTACTGAAGACTGAAACACCTAGACCAATTGACCTAGAACGAACATACTCAATACGACCGCTTTGACAGAAATGAGGAATTCTCGAATTATTAAAACCATTTTCCATATATCTTTTCAGGAAGAATGGAATAGTACTTAGTTTGTGTACAAAACTTCTGGATGTCCTCAACATGAGTGTTTATGTACTCCTAGTTTGTGAATCAAATGAAGAAAGAGTAATTTAATGCTAATTGGTTCAAATTGTTCGAATGGTTGTGGACAGAATAGAAGAAGCTTTCGCTTAATGGTTAAGACCATTGTCACACCTACACCATCATCCTAACATCTCTATCACAAATCACAAGGCAGAAATACTTACAAATTATTGTGAATGACAATGAGGTCGACGCAGTGAACCCTCAAGCTACCGACCAGTGGCCCTTCTCTCCATACCTTCAAAAATTATGGAATCCCTAGTATTCGACGGCATACTAAAACACTTATCATCCTCAAAGTTCTTCTCGCCTCAACAGCATGGTTTCAGAAAAGGTCATTCTTGTATGACCAACCTGCTGACTGCGGTGGATAGATGGACAACCGTCCTTGATCGCAAGGGGAAGGTTGACGTCATTTACCTGGACTTCTCAAAAGCTTTTGATAGGGTCAACCATGCATGTCTTATCAAGAAGCTTGGACGATTGGGTATAAAACCCCCTTTAATTGACTGGATCACTTCATACCTAGAAAACCGACACTTTAGGGTCAGGGTTAACTTCACTCTCTCTCAGGCTATGGAAT